TTCCATAGTCATACCTTACCTTTTTCATTCTTCTCCTTTGTCTTAGTTTCATAACCAAACATTTGCCCTTTACTCAGCTTTAGATTTTTTTAGAACACGAATAATAACACATTTACTGGACAAAGGGCATAACATAGAAGATGAGACAACAGACATTTACAAAAGAGACAAAGGGATTATTACATTTAGTGTGTGTGTGAAAATGTGTAGTGTGGGTGAATCCAACTCTATGCAGACTGATATTCAGTACATATTAAAGTAAAATAATATAAATAAATAAAACCAAATAGTGTAAGAAATTTGGGGGGTGGGGGAGGTAAATCTAAGGCCCAGGAATGTACTGGTGATGCCCCCGCCCTGAACCACCAGCACCAGGTGAGGCCATCACCTGGGGAGCTTCCGGAGCAGCTCAGCGGGGTGAGGTCATCCAGGGCAGCAGGACAGCAGTGTTCTTTTGTTATGGTTAAATTTTGTTTTACTGTTTGTCACGGTTTATGTTAATAGTTGACTGTTGGGACAAACAACTTGGTGTCGGCCCCTGACCTTGACAGAAGAGACCTGACCCAATGTGTGGTGTGTTCCCCTCCTAAACAGCTCCCAGGCCCTGAGGAGGGAGCTTGTCTAAGAGGGTGTCAACAGTACGGTGATGCTATATATAGTTAAGGGAAAGGGAACAGTGACCTGGCCTTCCTTCCCCATGCTGTGCAGCCCAGAGAAACCCAAAGAATGACCCCAGATTGCATGCCCCAGCTTTAGATTTTTATAAATGTTTGTTTTTTCCTCCTGCTGTGTTATGTCAGGTTTATTTAAATTGTTTTTAACCTATAATTTTAAGCATTTCTTTGTAGTTTACTGCCACTCTCCTGTCAACACTTTGTGTTATAGTGTCACTTTTCTCTGGGAACAGCTATACAAGGCTACTGCATTTAAAAAAAAGCAAAAGGAGAAAGGCATTACCTGACAAAGGACTTCTCAGTGGAGATGCTCCTCATCCCCTTTTCACTTCCCCTTTGCCCTTCAGCTTCCCCCCCCCCCCTCCCCCCCTCTGCAATTTCTGCTATCTAGGGCAATCCTGAGTCAATTAATACATATGTATGCACTCAGTCCACACCTCACTCCTTCACTCACAAACACACACACACCCTTGTTTTTGTCACTTACCAGGTCCCTACATAGACTTACATTCATTTCCAGGAGACTTACCCTAACCTTAACCAGAACTTCTACTTGCCTAAGCTTAACCCTTACCCTAATACTTAACCAAAGCCTACACTTGCTCTAACCTTACACTCCATCATTTTCATAAAATTCAACAAACTACGTTGTGGGGACCAGCCTCCAGTTCCCACAACAAGTGACTTCCAGTCCCCACAAAGATAGTAACTCATGGATTTTGGGCCACACAAGTATTGAAAAACAAGACCACACACACACAGAGCACATGAACTGTTCAATTCCTTGTCTATTAAATACTAAAAGCCCCCTGCAATAAGACCCAGATCACCCATATCATCATCATTTTGGGCTGATCTGTTCCATTTGTTCCACTCCAATGACTCTCTGATTTTGTCATGGGCAAGGGGATTAATATTTTATTGGACTTTATAGAGAAATCACTATTACTACTATGACTTCTACAACTACAGTACTAGTACTATTACTACTACTACTACCTGTATTCTTCCTTTGCTATTATGAATGTAAATATGTTTTTTGAAATGGCTTGACAAAATCATAACGCACTGTCAAGTATATATGATCAAAATACAGAAGAGCTGCTTAAGTTTGGTCTCTTAAAGCAACCTATGTCTCAAACTCTCAAAAAAAGGAGGAAATTGAACTTTTTTATTTAGTCTTCATTTTTACTTCTTTTGTACTATAAATTTCCATTACATGTACTTAGTAATTTATGATTTTTATGAAGCCAGCTCCCTTTAAAATGATGGAAGCTGTAGGAATACAAAGTTGGTTGACCCAGTATATGCTGTTTAATATGAATATTTCTTCCTTAAATTTCTAGAACAGGAGTGATAAGTGCAAAGTTAGCCTGACACATAGGGCCACAATAACCATCTTAAAGAAATAAGCACTAAATGATTTGAGCAACTGCTTTTTTTCATGAAGGAATTGGAGACATTCTCTAACAGTACATTCTTCTTCTTCTTTTGTAACATTTACAACAATTTTAAGCTGTACCTCTTAACTCCAGAACCTCCTGCTTGCCACAATTTGCATCCCACTGCCTGCTGACAAATAATTACAACCACAAGTCTTTAAAGACATTTCATATTTTCTTTTTTCTTTCATTCTGTGACCTAATTTCACAATTAATTTGCTGTTGAAAGCATTTAAGTATATACTCATTTACAAGGAAAATGTTAGCAGTTGCTAGTGTCTTTATTTTTCTATTGGAACTTGTTTATCCTTTATGAACAATCTCATATATTTAATATTTTAGTGTTTGGTAGCTGGAAAGTACAGAGGCATAAGAAACATGATATGGTTGGCTGCTTGTATGAGATAGCAAATGTAGCTGATCTGATATCAGTTTGAATCAGTGTGGTCTCAGTTAGTGTAATGCTTAAATACAGTTAGCTCACATATACTTACAGAAAACATTTTATTCGTGCTAACAGGCGGTTTTCATCCACACTCTGGCACCAACTTGTTGCTCAGTATCCATTATGCTTTGATTATGTTAGTAACATATTTGAACAATTCTAACAGCAGTTTACAACAACTTCATGGTTTATGAAAATGCTGACCATTACACATGAATTCAGTGTTTTATCACACATTATTACAGTACCTTCACTTAAATAATGAGACGGGTTTGCTCATACTGGTACTCTACTAGAGTACACTCCCAGCACACATGTGCCAAAGAATAGTCCAAATGGTCTAACTGTTGTCCTTAAACCTCAGTTAGCATTACAACAAATGATAAAAAGAAATAAATCACAGTAGAGATGTGCAGGCACCTCTTTACAACAGCAGATCGCTGTTATGAAGCCGCACAAGATGTATTTGGAAACAGCAATGTCATGTTTGTACGTAAGCAAATGGATTGACTAGAACAGTTGAAAGGGCCTAAATATACTCACACATGCTTGTTTAGAAAGTAAATGCCATTTTATTATTACTATAAAGTAATAGGTTTTATTTTTAGCTCTTAATTTGTACAATGGTGAAGAAGGTATATTCCTGTAATGTGCTTATTTGCAAAATTGTTAGGCATTTTGTAGAATACGTATTTCCCCTCCATCTTAAATCTTGGAGAGTAGGTAAACAAAACCCCCTTCACACTGGACAATTAAAAGCTGGAACAAAACCAATAGGGTGGGAATACTCGATGTAAGCAATTAGCAAATAGCAGGGGGCAAGAGATGTGTACAGCTGTTTCTCTTAGGTGTGAAATACTGTTGAAAATAAAAATGTTTGTCATATATCATCTTTGCTCTGTTTGGTTTCACAGGAAGACAGTCCAATTGAAAATAAGGAAGCACACAGATTTTACACCAAAATTATATATTTTAAAGTGTCTAGTTTCAAAGGTTTTGGTATTTTGTCCACTTTTGAATAGAAAATTATTTGCAACCTTTGTGCATCTGAATGTGCATTTGTGTCAGTGTGAAAAGAATATATAGGCCACTTTATGTATGCAAGAGAATGACAATGGGAGTATTTTTCCTCAACAGATTACAATTTGAAGCCTAGCTGTCATTCAGTGACACAAGTAATTTGTATGGGTCTATACTCTGCAAACAAACAATCTGACACTAGATGACAGTTGCATTTTGAATTTTGTAATGCTGTGTGCTTCTAATATAAATGACTGAAAAACAAAATCATCAGAGCATGAAATAAATATGACATGTTTTTGCCATTACACCTGCTGCCGTCTTGGAGCTTTGTAGACCGGTCTCCCAGTGGGGACAGATTTGACTGACAGCAGAAACTGGTGGCAATGATCTACCATAGAAAAACCAATGGCAAAACATGCTGCTGCCAGCACATACTCGCTAAAGAATGCTTTAAAGCGGCACCTACAAAAGACTTGGATCCGGAGCACTGATTGACATTTCTCCTCTTTGACACTTTGACATGGAAATGAAGTTTTTAAGTCAAGCCCTCCAGTCTCTGCTTTGTTCTTTATCTCTCTTTGACTTGAAGATGCATCACAACAGGTCTGTTTGCCCAGGCGGCTTAATAAAACCCACACAAGTAAATAAAAGAACAGCTGTATATAAGACACCAGTTTGAGGCAGACTTGGGGCACATTATTATTTTTTTAAATGCAATTTACACATCACACATCTTTTATATATCAAATATAAATTTAGACAAATCCTTCTTTAGTTTTAATTTCCATTTATGTATTTTTGTGATGTCTGCTGACCTGCAACTGTGATAAACATTTATTTAATATGTTTATATTCACAAAATACATAAATTGGGGCGATGTGTGATTGTGTTACAACTAATGTAACCTAACTCTGTTAGATTACATTTTGTCATTTGGCTTATGTTCTGTGCCCATCTATATTAAGAATATAAAATTCTGAGCATTAAAGATTTATTTTAAACTATATCTAAAAAAAAAGCCAAATAAATAAATAAAAAAAAGATATATAAATTAGATCATCTCAGTGCCTCTTGAGATGGACAGAGTCTGATTTGGATGCTGTGTGCTCTCCGCTGGCCTTTCAGGAATCTACGTGCATGTCATTTCAACAAGAAAACTTCATATCCCAGTCTTCCTCACATCAATCATTATACCATGCTGGGCAGACGCAGACAGAACCACCAAGAAAAAGCTCTCTGGTGCAAATCTTCAATAAAGAGCAACTGTCACACCGAGTCTCCGCAGCAGGCTCCGTTACATTAAAGAGCTACACACAGCTTACCTCTGCCATCAAATTGAGGAAAAACATTCCATTCTTATTTTTAATGGTTTTGTCTTTTTCATGCGTTTTAAAGAAGAACTAAGATGGTGATAAAAGCTATAAAAATACAAAGTGCAGAGATTCAGGTAGTTTGGAAAGAGGCATACAAGAAAGTGAAAGCTTTAAAGGCACACACTGAAATGACAGAAACCTTCAGCTGGTTTAGTGTGATCAGCACCATCTGCTGCCTAATGCATTGGTGCTGTCAGTAATTTCTTCAGTCCGGCTGAAGCTGGTATTGTGTCCTTTCTGAGTTTGCATTCTCATGTGTTCTTGTACCCTGCATGACTTGATTCACTAATCTAATTGCTGCTGCTCAAAAGAAATAAAGCACTCAGTGAGAGCCACCTGGGGACACAATGGATGGTTACATGGCTGACAAGAACAAATGGGAAGCCCAGCAAAATCACCTCATTACATGCAGATAGCACTGATGTCTGCATAGAATTTCTGTCAGATAAATTAACACATGTATTTTCTTTTATGAATGTGATGCACACAGCCTTGCTTGAAATAAAAGCATACAATTATTATTATTATGCTCTTATTCTTAAACTGACTGCCCACCAAAACATGAATTCTCCTACATCACAGACTTGACAGTTAATGATTAGTCAGTTACTGATGAGTCAGTTTCTTGATCAGCTGAAACAAAATTTCTGATAACACATTTGCTGTAAGAAATTTTGTTCAAACATTTGCTGGTTTTAGCTTCTAAAATGTGTTTTATTTCACTGTAAATTGAACGTCTTTGGCTTTTTGACTGTTAATTAGACAAAACCAAGAAGTGTAGAAAGCTCTAGACTCAACATTCTCATTTTTGATAACAAGCTTTAGTAGTGTATGACTGATTTGTGTTTCTATTAATCTACCAGCAGAGCAGTGCCAAAACAGAATGCTGTGCAGAACTTGTTGATGTACACTTTATAATTAGAATCAATAAGAGGCACTCCTATATGTCTTTGCCTTGGCCAGGAAGTTAAATGTAGACAGCTCCAGCACAGTCCAGCAACATTTGGACAGCTTCCAATGACAGCAGCATCACTGGCGGCAAGCCAGGCGAATCATGGCACTGCTAAACCCCAGCCAGTGGAACAACGCATTATTATGAGCATAAAGAAATGCATCAGCTGAATGACTTGACACTAACATCTCCAGGAGGGTACACAGGATGGAAACAGAGGATACAGTGCTCTGTGAAATCCACACCAAATGCTTACCTTGGACCTCCTTGTCATTTCGGAACCACCGGATGTTGGCAGCTGGTTTGCTGCCAGATGTGGTGCATGCCAGGGTGATTATGTCGCCCTCCATGGCAGGCTTGGTGAATCCTGTGATCTCCGGTCGTCCTGGCTTGCCTGTGGTGCATGAAAATATAATTACAAATAACATACTGAATACACATGTGTATGGGAATTTGATTAATACCCCAATGTGGCACAAGTATGCTGTATGTATGTATACTGTATGCTGTATTCTAATAAAACATGATTTCCAAACATTTCACTTTCAGATATCCATGCCATCTTCTTCTCCCAGTTTACAGTTTATTAAATAAATGATGACTGTGGCCACTATCTCCATGTCTGACTGTGAGATGCCTGATGAAGGTCATCTTACAGAAATATGTATGCATAAATGTATTCTAAGTGTTGACAGTATGTGCGAGTTGGCTTTTTTATTTTTTTAAACTATTTCTGCATATCCTTCAACAAGCCTGTCTGTTTTACACAGGTGTGAAAAGACTCCCATTGATTTTTGTTTAGGTTACATGTGGCAGAAAATTAAATATAGTAACACTATGAGTTTGCAAGCTTAACTATCATCCTTTCATCTAGTAGAAAAAGGGTCAAATATCATGCAGACATGTCATTTTCCTCCAAACCAACAAGTGTCTGGTGCAGAAAAACAACATGCTGTAATTCAGAATTGAAAAGTATTCATGCTGTCAGTATGTGAAGAATTATCCACAAGTAATTGGCCTGTGGAGGCTGGGCCAAAATGGATGTGCTCACCCAGAACAGTGAGAAAGGCCTTGCTGGTCTTGACAGGCATGGTGAAGAGCGAGCAGGTGTACTGGCCCTCATCTGACAGGCTGACGTCACCGATTCTGATGGTGAGCTCCTGCCATGAGGCTCGTACCAGCTCAATTCTGTGGTCTCTCAGAGCTGTATAAGGAAGGAAGACACATAGAACCACAGAGCACAGAAAAGGACAAGAGGGTTCACTAACTGGCAAATTCACATTGAATATAGTCATGGCAGTTATTCTGTAGAAATACCATGTGTAATTCAAATTATTTTTATTAGAGCAAGGCCAAATACACTGTGCTTTCATTTACTGTGTATATCAAATTGTTTTCAAAAGCAGCAAGCGCATACTGTAGCCAGTGGTTTGAAACACTTTCTTTAAATTTGCATTCTAGGCTGACAGTCTTATTTGCAAGAATTCAAATGGTATCAGTGTATGCACAGAAGCATAGCAGTAGGAAAACCCTATAGGGTACCTTCACTTACATTCCACATATTGATTTGGACTTACTTTAACACTGATACAAAAACCTTATCCTGGCTTTATGTAGAACTACACAGCCTATAGTCAGAGTGCAAAAGACAAAACAATTACATAAGTACTAACTGAATATACTGCTGACAATACAATATATTGTTTATTAACTGTCAGTGGTATGGTATCAGCATAATCATACTGTATTACTGTTTTACAAAAAATAACACTAATGCTAATAGTGAATAAAACCCCCTGCCACAGCTATCACTAATAATATTTGCAATAAAATAAACACAATGAGTGTTTTAAAACACAGACTGAAATAAAACATTTTTGTGTTTTCCTAATGTACCGGACACCTTCACCCCTGTTCTTTTATTTGTGGCTACACCTTCATAAAGCCAGGAAAATGATGCAACCAAGCTGAAAAAGGTCATCTCACACCTGTCAACTCTTATATAATTTCAAATTCTGAGTCACCTGCTCCTACAAGCGAACCAATGACAGAGGGCAAGCAGGACATTGTTCTTCACTGAATAAATTATACATCCTTAATCCTCAACGTAATGCCTGGACAGGTCTCTGGACAGTCTTTCATATGAGGGAAATTGAACTCTATTTGATTGTACAACACAGGGCGAATATGGCAAAACGCACAGAAGTAGGTGTTGATTAGGATTTAATCAACATGGCCGATGTGAAGCAGCGTCCTGTCAGATAAAGAAGACATCTCTATGAAAATCATTAATCACTGGCTCTGTTCCCATTTGATTTTAGTGATAAACATGCACAGCAGACATGTGATACACAATTAAATCAGACTGGCTGAAATGGTTATTAGATTTACATGGACATAGGTCATTATCAACAACGTTGATCTGTAGCTTCAATTACACCATATCATTTGATGATCATTATCGTGTAATCACACACGCTGCAAGGCAAAAAATAAAGATTGGCTATAAAGATATTAATGGCCCTAAGAAGTTTCTTATTAGAGGCTCTTTGTTATCCAAGAATAAAGAGGAGCATAAATAAAAACAATCTTCAAGCCAGAATTAAAATTTAATAACAAGCTGCACAGTAGAGAGCCAGCTTATTATGTGCTATGGGGCTTAATACAAACATTTGATAGACTTACTTTAACAAGCTGTATCATGAAACAAAGCTGCCTGATGTTCTTTTTAGTTAAGCGCCCAAAATACAGAGGAAATGCCCAGAGGCTGTGGCGAAAAACAACAAACCTATTGGTGGATGGATGCACTAGAGATGTGATGGGGTCTGAGCAGACATTGTACAGGAACTCAAAACATATGGAAGTACACACTGAGAGGATCAGAGCTTTGGACAAACGGACACATGGCACTTGGCCTGGTCCATACACAGAGAAATAAGAAATGATGGGGAGAAACAGACCAACCCTTTTATTCTTAACCCCCTGTTCCTCAAAGCACATACACCTGATAAACGGTAGCATAAACGGTAGCATATTTAGTCATATTTCAACAAAATTATGAGTGTATGCGAGACACTGAACATATGGATAGATAATAAACAGGTGGATTATGTTGCAGGACTGAGTCTCTTTAAATTTCTTTGAAACTAGGGAACAGCTTTAGTAATGTTATCCGAGGTCATTGAGTGTGTTGGGTCTTTTTAATTTCAGACACCCTCACTTAGGTGACCCAGTGGAGGCTGATGAAGCCTTAGCTTGTGCCCTAGCAGCACTCTCCCATGGATCCCCTGGTTGCTTGACTCTTGGAACTGTGCCACCCCCCTTGTACACAAAACTTGACGACATCCACGATGGATTTCAGGGGGGAGCCTTAGATTGCTGGTGTTTCCATAGAAGGCAATGCAGCTCAAGCTCCTTGGTAGTCCTAGTAATATTTCAGGTAGTAGCTAATCCCCCTTTCCAGGTCTGAGATGGTGGAGACTGGGAACTCAGTGGCCATAGGATCCATGGCAAAATCCCACGTTGGGAAATTCACACCTTAAATTTTCCTGGAAGGGACATACTGTATTCTTGACATCTTTGAGCCACCCATCCAGCTCTTTGCAGTTGTTCTTAATGGATGTTGTGTCCTTGAGGTTGCAGTCGAAGATTTTCCCCAGAGTTTTCACAGATTTTTTTAGAGAGGGTAGGGATTTGTGTTTCTGAGAGAGAACTGGAACTTATCCACAACTCTGTATTTGTTCAACACCAAGGATCTTGCTGATTTGAACAGCATCCTGGCCCATCCCAGCAACCTCTCCAGATACTTCAGGATCCATCTGACCCCAGGCAATGACTCACTTTTAAGTCATCCATAAAGGCACAAATTGGTGACTGGCAGATCCCAGATTTGAATCCTGGGGTCTTTACATCAGCACAAATCAGGAGATTTCACCAGCACGTTCATTGCCAGAGCTAACAGGATAACAACAGTCTATGCTGCTCATATGTTGTTGACCCTTTTGAGACTCAGGCTGAAATTGCTGTAATAATCCAGAATGAGGTCTCTTACAGTGGCTGCAGCTCACTGCAGCTTGGGGCAGTGCTTATACACCTTAAGAGAGCAGGTCTTGGTCTCTGGTATGGTCACAAGGTGTGGGTCCACTTCCTCTTTCGAACAGGCTAGATGTCCACTGCCTCACTGCCCAAGGAACCGCCTGGTAAACCCAAATAGGTTGGTAATGAAGGCAGACCGCTTCCTAGCACCACCTGTGTTGCTCAGTTCTGCGCAGGGGTCAGAACCTCTTACCTGGCATGAATTGGGCTGCCCGCTGCTCTTCACCAGGTTGCTAGGCTTTTAGTTAAAATACCTGGCCACAAGGACAGTTTGCACCACATGGATGCTCTGGGCTCTGTGGGGTGCTTTTTTTTAAAATGTAATTTTCTTTGCTGAAACATATTCATTGCAATCCATTAAAGCAAACATGAAATCTAGCTGAAGGCAGCTGCTGTTGGCTGAAAATATCAACTAAAAAAAAACCTTTGAACACTGTCTAATACGAAGTATGTAGATGTGGAATATTAATTTAAATACCAGTGCCCAAATATAGTACAGACCACCGGTAATTTCAAGTGACATTTACCGTACTAAATAGGCTACATCTCATTTTATATACTGAACAATATCACATTACCATCAGAATAGAACTAACTCTACATGTCAGAAGCTGAAATACTGAATTAGATAGTTTGAAGTAGAGGCTGAGAAACTACTTACAGTTATACAGAAGATGGACCTGACTGATGCATTTTTTTAGACAGCCACTGGCACGACACAATACATGGGTCAACGGCATATTGATAGAATGAGATGTACGAAAGTTTGAATAACCCAAAGACAAGTGTTATCTATCACCCAAACAACATATGGCCAAAAAACCATAAAGCTAGAATCCAACCCAGGCTAGAGGCCCAGACTGTGGGCAGATCCGTCACAATCAGACTCAAATGCCAGCAGCTGACAAAGCTTTCTTCCAGGTACTTTAGGAAATCAATGTGATGAAAAGGTTCATTTCCCCTAAACCCTAGACAGCTCCTGCACTGCTCATTGTGCTTAGGAGAAAGCATAAATCTGCACACTGACCTTGTGTATGCTGCAGCCTTGCAGCATGGCAGCTTAATGCACAGTACATCTCATGTGATCGAGGCCTTACCAAGGCTGTCTCAAATCAGTAAAACTGACACCCCGGTTCCCCCTCAGGGCAGGGATACTGTTGCTATGGCCCTTTGATGCAAGCTAATGTTCGCCTGATTTCCCTGACAGTCCTTTGCACTATTGACCATGGCAGTAAAAGACCAACGCAAGGTTTCATGAAAAAACTGCAGTTTGTCAGATTCTGTTATAATACCATAGGTCAAATTTGCTGAAGGTTATCTGAATGTACTATGTCCAAAAAATTGTTTCAACATGAAACAGCTGTTATAAAGCGTTACTACACTACAAGTCAAAAGTTTGGACACACATTCCCATTCAATTCAATGAGAAAGTGTGTCCAAACTTTTGACTGGTAATGTATATTAAGGTGCACTGTTTGGATGTGAAAAACCATCAGTCTGATTGGGAGCTGCATTATTTCTGTCCTTGGATCAAACTGGAAGCAGAGGGACTGAAAGTGCACTTATCACATCACATTCACTTCTGCACTCCACTGAGCAGCAGACAGATGTTAACCAATGTTTTTAATCCACAACAATAAAGTATCTCCTGACAGGCCAGATAGAAAAGGACACTTTACATCTATCCATTAGTCTTGGAAACAAGCTGATGGCTCTTGGGTTCAGCCAAAATATGTTACATCCACAATGCAGAGTGTCACCATTTGGCCATTTTTGCATGGCCTGTAGCCACTTCAAGGCAGTGTCCTGGAATGTGAAAGCACTAACTGTCCTTCAGTCTGAACACAGGTTCCTGGCGCACCCCCCCCTGCTCTCCAGCCAGTGGCTCCACTCTTTGCAATTAGAGTGTGTTTGCTGCTGGCTGTGCTCGCTCAGTGTCTGCGTGGGTGATTCTGGACCTGTTCCAGGGTTAGTGGTGCAGGCAAGGGGCTCTTTCCCACCACACATGTGGCTGCAATTAAAAGAAGGAAAGGGTCTTTTTCCAGAGGGCCACTGTTACTGCTGGTGCTCTCAGAGATCCCACGGAGCAGATGCTACTCAAATTAGACTCATTTTTAGCACCTAAAGGAGGAAAGGAAAGAAGAAAGAAGTCTCCCAACAGGTATGCTAGGTCGTCTCTTAGTGGTGAATAATGATAATGAGACTGAATATATTTTTGTCCATCCATTTCTCAACCCACTGACATAAGCATGATTGTACACTGTGGGATTTTTCTCAGCCTTTGGTTCTTTTTCTTCATATGAATTCTCTGAATTTAATCTTTAATTTAATTTTTATCAAAAGAAGTGCCAGCAGGGTTACATAATTCTGTTGGTGTACAATTCAGTTTTACCAATTTCAGGGTTTGCAAAGACATATTACAGAACAACACATAACGACTTAGCCCATGTAGAAAAGATATAAACAATTTTCAGGTGGATCTCAAACTTCAAACGGAATTTAACTACAACATATTCATCCTTACTCTAGAGCTGTTATACATTATACATGAATGCAGTGTGGCACAGAGGTTAGAATAATACATGCAAGAGCAACGCTTCACATTAGTGATAATAGCTGAGTGTATAGTGCAATAACAAAAGATTCACATTTCATTGAAGCCGGAGGTAACCCCACTACACTTACAGTAAATGCCTATTAGTCCCAGAAGAAAGACATTAGAGGTGGCCATGAGACCCTTTCTACATTTTGTTGTCAGTAAAAACAGTAACTGAAAAGTAAACAAAACAAATACAAAACACTTGTAAGCACAGCTTGTGGCTTATGGATACATATCACAAGCCTGGACACACATTCCTACACAATTCAGTGGGAAGGTGTGTCCAAACGTTTGACTAGTAGTGTATGTGTACAGTAGTTTTCAAAACAAGGAGAGATCTACTCACAGAGATAAGGGGGTTCACTGTGGTTACTTACAATAGGCCCACCATCAAATGTTGTGTATTTACTAGAATGGACATGTAAATGTGCTTTCATTGGTACTCACTCTAGTAATTGCATCCTTGGTAATTATCCTTCATTCTCTCAAGCTAATGAATGTTTTAATGCTCACATTAGAGCATTCATTTAGCACATAACAGCATTTTGATTACTACAAGCCAATTAAGATCAATTTTGCTATGTGACCTTTATAATTCAGGCTGAATGCCCCAATTAAATGTCATGAATGATGAACCATAAACCTCTGAGAGATGGAATTAAGATGAGGGAAAGTGATGTACAATTTAACACTGCATCCATGTAAATGATGTATATGTCTGCAATATCTCTAATACAAGCACAAATGAGCAATTTGTGATGTCCTTTTGTGACTTGCAACCTGCAGTAGCTTTCCATTAACTGCATTATTCATATTCACCATATCTGACAATAGATTCTGCCTCTATTCTGCATGTCTCCAAGAATGTCATTACTATTCTCTACAGCATCACTACTTAGGTTTTATCCTTTTATCACAGAAGTCAAAAATGAAGTAAATCATAATGAAGACAGCAAAGGACAGCTCTGTTCTCATTTGTCCTGCTCAGTAATATTAACCCCGGCAACATATAAGAGAGGGATAATTCTACAAAAGACACGATCCAAATCGATTTCTTTATTGTGGCATCCCACCACAGAGTCACTCCCTTCAACAGTCCCTGCTAACTGACCTAATGTATGAATGTGTTGGCCTGGCTATTAGGGCAATCTATCTCTGTTGTCTCAGGTCTGTGGCTGTAGGCCATATGAATCTGCATGCTGGTCATTTCACTGTGAAGTCTCTCAGGTAGCAACGATCAACCAAGACTCAGATATACATAATGGATGAGGAGGAGTGTGCCATGGAGCCAGCTGGCATGACATAAGAGGAGGCCTGTGTTCAGCTTTAGACAAATGTGCAGAGACAGTTGCACCCATATGGATCGGTTTTGGGAGTCCAGGAAGGTTAGCACTCTTGGAACGCCGTGAGGTTTGACTGAACCTCTTATAAGAGCAGATTAGATAAAGGTCCTTATTGTACACACTCTCACCAATGACACATTAAGCTATTGACCTGTCCTCTTCACGCTTTCTCCTTCCCAACTCCAACTATATCTCTTATCCTCCTGCCACATGTATGATGAGAACTAACATTGCTATATAAAGAAATCATAGGTCTCAGTAGGATGCACTGCAAGCATTACACACAAACTTCCAGTGGGTTTATCAACTAATAATGCACCACTGTGATCCTTCCTCTGTTGCATGTTGCATTTAAATTAACAGAAGGCTAATTAGAGTAGTTTTATAATTAACCAAGATTGTTCTCACCAGAAAAAAGTGATGACACCAGTTTGTTGCTTAGCTACTTTAAATGACCTACGTTTGTGTTATTGTGGTTGAGTAAAGATATACGTCATACCAAGTATGAGTGCTTGTCCTTTTTTAAAAACCATGATCAATATCTTTTCCTAAATTTACTTCAACTTTACCAAATCTTAAAAACAGAAGTGGAAGATCAGAAAAAGCTATTTTGGAAAGCACTGCTAAACAACTTGTTTTGTCATTTCACGAATATTTTGCCAGCACTTTCGTGACTGTCACTCACGTACAAATAATGTTTGATGTAAAAGATCCACTTTACTCATATTTATGATATTCAGTGTCCTTAAAATTCCTGACAGACAGAAAGTCCCCTTTCTCCTTGGCTGTAATAGCTACTCTTTGGGGTTTTTTTCATATTCTGATTCTTTGTCAGCCCTGAATAAAATAGAACAAATTATAGTTAGGGCAAAGATCAGATTTTGTCTTACTTTACCCAGCAGCTGTCAAACTCAGCTGATATAATACAGAACTTCAGCTTTTGTGTTTTTACAGATGTTTCTCTTTACTCCTCTATAGCTGCTCAAAAGGATTTAAAAGGTCATTTTAATAGTCTTTTTACTCCCTGACCATTTATATCACACTCCCAACACATCCAGACAAATGTCCTTATCTTTAATACCAAGCTTGAGGAAAAGAGCAAGAGTAAATTTCAAATATGCCTCACAGGGCGTTTTGTCTAATTTAAGACAGAACAGCAGATGTATTTTTATCATCACTACTTGTATGTGTTTGAGCATCCAGAACTGTAAAAAACGGTGTAAAAACTTGAATTTCCTGTGGATTACACATGCACCATGATACTAACATACTGTACACTATGTCCAAGCTGCCATGGACACCTACTAGGCAGATATGTGGACAAGCGAAGGAACTAAACTGATGATGCAGATTTAAAAAACAATTCTTAACACTAAGAACAAGAAAATGCAACATACAGTAGCTGCATCAATGACAGCAGTCTATGACAAGCTGTTACAGGGAGAAAACCGTCTGTGCAGGTTCAACAGGTCTGCAGTTAGTTGTTGGACTGAAAGGTAGCATAATGCAGAATCTAACATTTTTCATGGGCTCCTACAAGAAGGCACAACAAATGGAAGAAGTAGTTGTAGCCCTCTGCCAAGCCATTAACTGGTGATTTGGCACAGTGGAGATTTCGTCCCAGGTGTCCCACCCTCTTCCTCGCATGAAGCCAGTGTTGTTCCACGCCTCCCATTTCTCCCGATGAGCTCACAGGCATAGTCTTAGTTGTGCCAATAAAGCTTTTCATTTGGCTGTTTAAAGGGAGATGGAGAGGAAGTGTTCCCACACTTAGTTCTGGCAACCTCTGCTGAGTAGACTACATTCATTTTGTCATCTGTATTGCTCAGAAAAAGGATTCTGTCATGCAATATAAATGGCTGGCCAAGAAGGGCAAAATGGCTCATACATACTGTGCTCTCCAAACTCTCCTTACATGCTTACAACAGCAGCATTTTGGATTTACAAGTGGAAACAGGTTATTGCTTTGCATTCACAGGACATGACAAATGTGAGCAGGGCACAGTTAACTGGCTTCATTTAGGATGAATGAAATAACCAAAATATTTAAATGATTAAAAGTATGTTAGCACATGATGAAAGCACAAAGAGGTGACAGAGTCTGGCAATTTTCAAGATTGGTTCTACAATGTAAAATATTAAAATGCTACTTTGATTGTACACCAGAGAATACAGAAAAAAAATCACAATGGAAAAAAGCTTAATGAATTTCGCTTGAATTTAGACCCCTGGGGCACATTCACACCATTCACACAAGAGTAACTATGTAAGATTTGGTTAACTTTCATTTAATTGTATTTGGAAGCAATTTCATCTAATAAAACACCTTAGACCTCATTACTAAACCCAATCACTTGCGAGGGAGAAAGTATTTCTTCAAACCAGACTGCGACTCTCATTCTGCTGGTTCACTCTGGCGTCTCTCTCTCATCAATTGTTATTCAAAAGGAAACTTCATCTTCAATCACTGTACCAATGATATTGTATTAGCAGTTACAGCATAAATGAAATGGGTAATATGCTGTGAGAAACACTGAAAGATGAACACCCCCAGCCCTTACAAGACCAGTCCACTGTTATACTCCGTTTCACCCCAGTTCCAATTTATCAACTCCAGACTTTTGTCACCTTTAAATTGGATTTGGCTGGTGAGAACACATTATAATTCATTCTGGCCTTGTTTCATGAGGTTGCAACAGTGTGCTTCCTTTTCAGAGTGACATCCAAACAACTACACAAATGTAGGGCAGCTAAAATGCTAATTAGCCCCAATCATCTCACAATCCACAGGCGTTAGAGTGTTGTAAACAACACTATCAGTGCTACGTGATTACAAAAGTTCAATTCAAAAACAGTATTTTTGTTTGGTTTATGCCCTGGGACATCAAAGTAGACACAAATTCATTAAAAGTCTGCTTCACCATTACGGGAAATACATTTCTTTTATTCCGTCTTTCTTCTTCATTCAGTCAAACTGTGTGCTCGAAGGCAGGCAGGGACAATGTTGTAAAAAATGTAAAATGTTGTAAAATTTGAAAAATTAATGAAATCCCCTGTAGTAATATAATCTGGCTCAGACATCTTTATCATATCTCATCATTTTACCATTAGAGCCATTATCCCCAGGAATATTACTCACCTTTCTTGTCCCCAAAGAACAGAGTCTGTTGTGCAGGGTTTGACCACTGGAGGGAAGTGTTATCATTGTAATCCACGCGACAGGTCATGTTGGCTGTGGCCCCCTCCACCACCGTCACATTCTGAGTTATGGGGAACTGACCTTGGCTGCCTGTGGGATTATGAAACAGAGTTTGAGGTCATGAACGTGACATGAATAGACTGCTCTTTTGGACTCGTTGTCACTATCTTTTCATTGAATAACATCCATGTATCATTCAGACTTGACACCTTTCAAACTGAATGTTCTGTCACCATATCACCCAATTACATTAATGTCTTCATTACATCACAGTAAACCAAAGATAGCTTAATGGGAGCCTGGCCGACAGACTCCAGCCTTTGACAGCTGTTGGAAAAAGACTGTGGAAACAATGGTAGGTTTTACTCTCCCTAAGCGCCTTCCTCGCTGCCTTATTGCAGGGTCCTAATTGGTAGCATGGCCTAATTAGAGGTAGTCATGTTCTGCTGTAGAGTCTAGAGCTGCAGCTGGGGGGTAAATTGACACATAATCCTAGACACTGTGGGCCTTCGATCCGAGCGACTGCCTTGCCCTGAAACAGGCGCTCGTCACAGTGTGCAGAAGACATCCAAATGAGGCCTAATCACCCAGCCTTGCTGGATTTTACCTTCTTATTCCACATTTGTACTTGTTGACTCAGTAAAGTCCCCTAATTACAGTGCAGAAGCATTTCTATCCTGCCTTCAGAAACCGATGTGTAAAACCAGTATTAGCAGGGCATTGTGAGAAGATAATGTGTAGGCTAATATGAGCTGGACCAGACTAGCCTCTTCATGGGTGACAACAGTAAACAACAGCTGCCTTGAAGCTGGAGTTCCTGTTTGAAGCTGGATGCCTGGGAGAGCTTCAACCACAAGCAAATCTTTGTGCATGTTTTCTCTTGATTTCACAGGTCTGCTTTGGTTTCCACTTGTATTGTTCCTGAATATGAAGGTGACACCGTCTCTGCCTCTCCCATGTACAGTACACCAGAGGGACATATCAACTAAGGGAGCAGCTGCCTGCCTCATTAGCCCAGCTCACATGTAGGAGTAGAGCAGGCTGGGACACCCAAAGGTTTGTGAACCTTCCATGACCTCGACTGTCCTGACGGAGGCCACTGTCATTTAGAGGCTAAGGTGAGGCTGACTATAATAACAGTAATGGGAAAATGATTAGTTACCTGCTCATTGCACCCAATCACACGACATCACATCAACAAATAGGCTACATCACCATTTCATCATGTCATCATTACAGTGATTCAGATGCAGTTGGCTGGGTGTCAACTAGGTAGTCCCACAAAACCAGCTATGCATGTCATTATATTGAAAAGGATGCAGATGCATTGTGTGTGGGATACAATGTGGAGGAGGTGTTGTCAGTTCCTGCATAAATTTAAACTTTTTTATTGTATCATCTACCACAATTTCTCGACTGTATTTGCTGTCTGTCTCCAGTGTATACTGTTCAATATTCACAAATATTATAAAAAAGTCAAATCTGAAAAGTAATGAACAGCAGTGTTCAATCCCTGAAGGTTTACCCTTGGTTGTGATATGCAGGATTACTTTAGCAAAAACCTGTTGCTGCAATTACTTTTAATTATGCCTCCAAGGTCAATAAAGTCTGTTCACCTACTGTAATTAGAAGTATGGCTGTATCTTGAGTGTTGTTTTCAGAGAAGTGTCAGTACAGCTTTGGGTGCACAGCAGCTATCTGGGCTCTCACCTAATACATTTATGAAATTCCACTGTCTTGACATTTTGGAGCAGTCCAAATGCTGTCCTTTCTGTGGAAATGTAATCCCCAGCACCAACTACACAGTGTCTTTCGTTCTTTTTTGTGAGATGGTGATTGGAAAGCTGGCTTCACTTCTACAGTACAGTACAAAATAATATTCTAGAAAAACTACACTGTGTAGTGTGACCCTATATAATGACCTCGCTTTAAAGAAGCACATGTTCAGGTGAGTGTGACAACAATGGATATTCCATCACAACTGCGGCACATTTTGTACAAAGAGGTGTGGTAGTACTTTAAAACCTGGCGATGAATGGTTAATACTGGGGTAATTCCATAAAGGTAACACCAGATAATAGTTTGGCAATAACAAGAAACATATTGGAGTTATAGCTTTGTATAACTTGGATCAAACGCATGACAGCAATAATCACAGGGAACCTCTCTGTACTGATGTGGCAACAATGGATTGACATATTCACTGTACACCCACACACCTGTTTTCACTTATTTTGTCTGATTAGACCTCTTATAAAAAAATCGTGTGGGCATGTACAGACTGTTTGACATCTGTCACAATCTCCTATGTGCATTTATCACAGCAGACATTGTGACGTGTCACAGTAGAGAAGCACATGTGTGAGTTAATGTTGGCTGAATTCCATTGAACTGGTTCAATGTCAGGGTCCTGGTATTGTGCATGCTGACTCAAGGCCAATACTGCAATATAGCTTACTGGGACACTTGGCTACAGTGGAGCTTGTTGTTAATGTTATTAGTATCACCTGCACTATGAGAAGTAAGAATGACTGCTGTGTAAAAGGCCATTTAGTTGTGTTACACCTGTTATGGTTAAAGAAGTTACATGCATTTGTTATATACAAGAGGCTCATAAAGTTCAGTGACCTCATAATGCCAGCACAGCTCTTCCCAGCGTCAACTGGAGAAGATACAGTATCTAATTAGACAGAATAAGGGAAAATACTTTGGTAGGTGTGCAGGGTCTTTAACAGCAACTAACTAGTCTGTTGTTGAACAACATCACACCATTATTACCTTATTATAACTGAACTGTAACACAATCTGCTATAAGACGCAACATGCTTCACAAAAAGGAGAAAACAAAAACATTTAATAACAAAGCAGACAAATTATTAGATAAGAAACAACAGACAAACTTGATATTTTTAAGCAAATGAACTGAAAGCTACGACATACGAGATTCGAACATTTCTGACTTAGTATGCAATTTTTGACTAGTCTCATTCCCACATGAGAATGACAAAATAATTCAACACACTCTGACTTTAACAGTAAGTAAACAATAGGTACTGCAGGTAAGGAAAGATCCAATAAAAGCTTCTATTGTGGGTGAAAGCAAGTTAGAGTAGATTATGTTGAGCCATGTGTGCGTTTTCTTATAAAAGTGAACCCAGCGAAAGGGAACAAACAGTTCTGAGAAAGGTAATAGAGGTATGAAGGTTGCCTGCTCCACTGATGATCCAAGACAACTCCGTGAAGTGCAGTGATGAAATGAGGAATAAACCTGCACTTTTGCAGTATGCCCAGGAGGAGGACAGGCAATCCCTTATACACACAGCATATCAACTTTACAGGCTAAAGGACCTCAATACTAGGCATTGCTGTATCCATTTCCAGAGCCCAGATGTATTATAGTGAAAGGGAAGGAGCTACAGTACTTATTTTCAATCAAGGGCAGCAGCAGGTTAACAACTTGCACATATTTACAGTAGACAGCATGCAATCTGCTTGGCATGACAGCGAATAGGTGAGGTGGGGATCGAGCAACCTGAGATATCTTGCTGAATGAAGATGGCGCCCTCTGAAACATGAATATCATTAATGTTTGCTTTTGTCATTTTGGCAAATCTGCTCCTTTATATCATAAAGTGCATTAGTAGAAGAAAAATTCAATCTGTGATAAGTCATATATTGAGAGCATTTCTTTCTCCCATCTTTCCAGCCCAGCCTGCTTACATCTTCTCAGACTGGGAGGTTAAAATTAAAAAACAAATTAAGAACTGAAAATTTGCTCATTTTTACATTAAATTTTAGATTAATCAATTAGAATCCAAGCTTTTTATTGTTTTGTTTTTGTGTGTTTGTGCATTTAATCAAAGCATCTCCAACATCAGCCTGCTTATGGGCCTAACTCTTACAGCTGTAATTGGTCCACCGGCAGTGCTTTTCCCTTTCACTGTTTTGTTTTTAATGACAGCCACATGGATCTGAGAGCTGCTGGGTTTTTTTGTAAGTGCTAAAGCAAGGAGGCCACTCCAGTGAAAGCTGAAACTGGCAATATCACCCTGAGCTGGGAGATTATGGTCCACCAGCACGGTGATCATCAGTCACGATGTCAGCACACACAAGATTAGTCAAGTTGTTTGCTGTGTCAGAATGTTGCTGACACATCCCTCCACCATGACATTAACCTTCATACAGAATCAAGTGACACTGAGTCATGAATCAAGTATTTAGCTTCGTAACTGAGATTTGTTACAAGTGTAAATGTTGTAAATATATGATAATTAGATTTTAAAGTAGAACCAGAGAAACAGATGTGTGCTAAAACACAGATTAGATTTAGATGTCCGCTCTTTCTATCTATAGATTTCAGCATGGAATAAACTCCGTACAGCAGGTGTAGAGTATTACTATGAATACAGATGTTCAGAATGGCTGGCTGTTGAGTGTGCATTAACTATAAACAATTTCATTTCAACCAGCCTCTCTTCAGGCTGTCATCAGAATGCAGCTCAGACCATAGCCAGATGGAATCGGAGACTGACAATATTAGAAGCCAGGAATATGATACTTAGGATACCCAGGGTATTGATTGTGAGAGTTTTATGGCCTGGAGGGTGGGTATCTAGAAAAGGTGAATATGAAGAAGATAGACATCTGTGTGACTGTAGTTAAAAGGAGGGTTAAGAGAGTTAACTCATGAATGTGATTGCCTTATCATTATTAATTATGTGGAAATCTTTTGGGTCTATTTTGATACTCACACCACAGCATTCTGGGAAACCAGGTTTGAAATCTGGCTCATTAGAGAACTGTGTTGCATGTGTAATTCCACTGACTCGTCTAATGACCACTGATCCAGGGTGTAAGGTGAAAAATAAGGAGAATGTAGTGGAGGAAGAATGAGCCATACAGTACCACCCCAAAAGCCTTTCAGTTTCAGCTGACTGCACCAAATAATGGAAAGCATTGCCTTGATGAATAGCTGCAGAGCAGTCAAGCACACCGCTGCCGAATAAACTGTAAACTATGGTTGGGATAAAAAGAAAACAAATAACTCAGAAAATAGTTCAAGAAATGGTCAATGCCTCTATTCATTAGGG